TGGCTGCCTGCACCTTGTCGGTAGCACATGGCCACAAGCAGCCGGCTGCTGTGCGATGTTAAACTGGCCCTGATGTGATAGGTTCTTTCGGTCTTTCACTGTCCCACATCTTGACTTGCCTTATTCTTTGGGCAGCTCAGCAGCATACACACTTTAAACATGCATTTTAACTAGGAGACTACAGTGAATGTCACTGGTGCAGGCTGCGCGCCATAACCTGTGAATTCTCGAGCCACGCACAAGTTGTGTCTGGTGTATTCCGGCCTGGAAAGCCAGACGGACAAGCAGCACTCATTTTCGTCATCTATGGCTTCATTTCCCTTTAGATGGTTTAATTGTGTTCCTCTCGAGCTATGCGTCATTCTACAAACCGCAGGTACTATGAGGCCCTCTTCTGCGTACATTACTACTGTCGCAAAACGTGTGCGTTGTTCCAAGTCTTCAAAGACTGTGTGTGGTAGGCCTCAAGCTTATCCCAACGGATATCTGCAATCACACTCCTGAGCTATACTTGCTCCTCACTGCCTTGTGCGTCAGGCTATTAAACCATAGGATCCGAGTATGGTACCTCATGTGAACCTCCATGTACCCCACTGCCTTGTGGGTCAGATTGTTGAGTCAAAGACTAGTGTTAGAGCACCTCGAACGAAATACATTTCTCAGTGTTATCTGTCCTCTCGACCACATCGACAATACTCCTTTTTCTCTCCGCTCTCAACTTTTTTCTCCGTATATTGTGTGAGAGTCTGCCACTGACCTCACGGCTGCTGCCATAGATACATGTTGCTCTTCCTTCAAACGCAAAGTATCATTTCAAATCGGTTCTTTTAATGTCCCTAGTCTGGGTCAAATCGGTCAACAAAAAGCACAAACTCTCACTCTTCTCACTTGGCATTTGTGTACGTGCCTCTGAAACTCGCATACAAGATAACAGTTTTGTAACGAATCTTCGACTCTGTCAATGACTACACACTTCGCATCTCTGGCGTTACTGTGTCAGACTCAGGACATCTACGGTGTTTGTATCGCCCACAGCAAGCGTACTGGAAACAATGTACTCTACTGGATTCAAGTAAACAGCCGCATATATGCTATTCGACTTTGAACTTCTGTTGCGGTCAATAGGCATCGTCAGAAGACAAGGTGCCTTTTCATCGCCTCCGTTTATGCCCCCTACTGACTGTAGTCTAGAGGGTATCAAAAGCGATTTCTATCGAGAACTCTCATCTCTTCTTCGCATGACGCCGAGTATTGACATGGTGATTGCTGCTGGCCACATGGGTGCCCAACTGGGTCGTCTTCCAGATTTTGAACGACACATGTGAGGGCAATTCGGGGTTAGTGCACATCGAATAGACGTTGCTGATCGATTCCTGCATTTGTGAGCCGATCACAAACTTTGCATTAGCAGCACTGCTTTCTAGCACCAACATCCACACCACGTCACCTGGCACCCACTGAATTTTCCCATGACCTGAACTCAAATTGGCTATATTGCTACTAGCTACGGATGGCGCACATCAGTCTAAGACTGTCGGTCAGTTTGGAGCCCGCGCCTGAATTTCAGTCTTGCTCTAATGCGCGCACATCTAGCGTTCACTCTTCACGGCACCTATCTTCTAACCTTCTTCCTTGCAACTTGAGCTCAGTCTGCTTTTGAACAATATAATGAACTAGCCCACTAATTGTCAGTGATAAATGAGGTTGATGGGCCGAACGCTGACTAGCATCGTTTCAGTTGTGCCATGAGGAATGTCTTTGGCCCTTGTTATGCATTCGATGAGACATCGTAATTGAATGGATCCCTGAAGCATCGATCAGTTTGCTCGAAGCGAACAAACAGATTCCAATGGGCACTGCGTTTCAGTGTGTCCGTAACTCTGAAACGACGTCTGAAAACGAGTCTTCGAATCGACCGGGAGCGTTAGTCTAACAAGGGCTCTTGAGATGGAGAAAGCCCACTGCTTTTGGGAGCAGTCCTACGTTATTGGGCTCATCCGGAACACGCGACCGGGGAAACAATCAGTTAGCGAGACAATAGCTGCGAAATGAACTGTTGATCCATTCTCAGCTTCATAGACTAGCCCGTTGGGCGGAACATGTTGTAGAGCAGTCCAGCAGATCTACTACCACACAGTCACTTACTGAATCATCTTAGCCTACGTGGGAAGTTGCTGTCACACCTCTGTGGAAGAGATTCAACATGAGCTTTCCGTGTTGAAACGGAACGAAACGCCTGGACCTGAGGACCTTCCTCTATCTTTGTGGAAACATGGAAGTGACTCTTTGTCGATTGGACTTGCTTCTCTGTTTAACACGATTTGGGGCACTAACGAAGTGCTTTCAGACTCGCGACTGTCAACTGTCGTGTTCATCTTCAAGGAAGGTCAACGCACTTGTGCGAAAATCATCGAGGCATTAGCCTTAAATCCGTTGCCTCCAAGCTTTCAGCAGGTATCATTCTGCAATGGCTTACAGGTCCCTGTAAGAACTGCATCACTGAAAAGCTGGCTTCCACTCTGGTTGTGGTTGCATCGACCACATGTTAACCCTTCGACAAGTGTTGGAACAGAGACATACACAAACGACCGACTTTGGTGATTTCCTTTGATTTGTATGTTGCCTTCGACTCTGTTGATCCCGCCAGCTTGTAGTGCTGCCTATCCATGAAGAATGTGCAAAATAAACCCTTCTATTCCGAAGTCACCTGGGATTCTCGAGGTTGTGTAATGGTCTACCGGAAACTGTTTCCTGAGTTCCCAACGACGAATGGTGTTCGCCATGGTTGTCCTATTTCTCTCTCTTCAACTTTAATTGAAATGATCATGAATGGCTCGGTTCTTTCAAACTCTACTGGGATGGAAGTTCTGCCAGGTGACTGATTGACAAACCTGGAGTATGCGAAGGACGGCTCTCCTTGGATCTAACAGGAGCCGACGTCATCGACGTTTGTGTTGTGGGTCTTTTCGTCCCACCCCTCCCCTTTGTCTTCCTCCTGCTCTAACAATGCATAATATGGTATTTAGCAAAATGTTACCTTTTAACTTTTCTAGTCTGTAGTGTTAATCTTTTATCTTTTTTGTATTGCGGCATATTGGTTGTGGTGTGTTTCTCACCCTCAACTAACTTTTATTGGCAATGATGATGATGATGATTGTGTCTGACGCATTGGCTACCGAACGGACTGACGTGTAGGGCTGCACGCTTCGGCACCTACTTTACACCTTCGAATTGCAAATTGCTGCTATAGGACTGGATCGGCACACCTCCGATTTTAACTATTACCGGATAGCCACTGGAAATGGCCGCCCGATTCACTTGTCTTGGCAGCTGTGTCGCCTCTGATGGAGGAAGTTACTTGGCATGTCAGCAAAGCCCGTGTGGCTTTCCAGAGGCTCAATCATCTATGAAGGGGGGGCGGGATATCAGCCTGTCAGTGAACGCTAGGCTGTGTACGTCTGCGGTAAAGCCGCTGTTACTGTATGGATGACAGAATTAGCCAGTTAACGGCGATATTAAACGTTTGATCATGTTTAATCACCGGTACTTACGGAGTATTGCTCACATCAAGTGGGAACACCTGGTGAATAGTGCTGTGGCTCGCCAGTTGGTTTTTGACAAGAAGTCTTCTTATGCTTCACTCGAGTGTGTTTGCTGAATCCTACCCGCTTTGATGGTCCTCCGTACGTCCATTGATAGCCTTTATCAGTGTGTATTATACTCGTGGCTGTACCAAGTTGGGCGAAAGCACAATGTAGGCAGTCCATGACATGACATAAAAGCTTGGTGAGAATTACTGAGTGACTTGGCCCGGCTGCTTCGTGCCTCCTTCTTGGTACATCCACAGCAATGTTTAGAGACTGCATCAGACGGCGCGGTCACGCAGTCAGTAGCGTTCCTGCATTCGGTTTCTTGCACCTGCTTGTTAATTCTCATTTCATTTTAACTGTTCTGACACACCTTCTTACTTCCATTCTCCCTACCTTCTATTTGCACCCAACCCCACACTACCTTGCCGTTGTTAGGTATTGTTATTCTCTACGATGTGAGTCGTGGCAACTGGATCCACCGCACTTCGGTGCTCGGATCATAGTGGTTTAACTGCACTGAATAGAAGATGTGGGACTTGTGTGCGGAGAATTTGATTAGTCATTCATTAGATCATGGTTTAAGGGAGTTGAATTGACAAAGGGGTTTGAGGGCACTGGCTAAGAAATTGGGCTGCGTTAGCACTTATCCTCTTGCTAGTTAAGGCATCCGCAGTATGCCGGTACGCCGTACCGACGCTCCGCTGTCACGCAACCACCACTAGTCTCCCGGTGGCTAAGGATGCTTCTAGAATCGCCCGGCTCTCTAGACTACGCGCCAGCTCTTGATATGTGGGAGCCATAGGTTGGATGTACGGTCTACCACCCTGTAACCTAGGTATTAATCTGTTTACTCCCTTTTCGTTCTTGTCCTCGCTTCGCCTCCCTCACTTTTCATCACCGTTACAACCTGAGCTACTTCAATCCGATCCACTGCACTTCCCTGGATTGCAATTGGCTAGCTGATTTTTATTCCAAGATGACCGTGTTTCATGGACGGAACATCACTCAACGCTTCAGACTACCTTAGCGTCAACCTAGGACTACTTCCTTGTGCTAGTGACTTCAATCTTCCCGGCGGTATGGGGCGCTTTATCCTACTGTTTTTACAGCGAATTTGTTTCAGTTTGCATTTTTTCTTTCAACAACACAAACGAATCGACTAATATACATGTTATCGAACTGCGCAAAACAAACCTGATTTATCTCACTCCATATGCATCATGATAAACTCCACAGGACGGCTGTTGTAACGATCAGGTATCTGTTCTCTGTCTCTGGCGCACAATTATTAAAATGTACTAAACATTCCTGCCTTTACGTTTTTCGTGGTCGTACTCTCTTTCGTTCCGTTTTCTGTGTGCATATACGAATACATGACTCCGTCTATTAATTTTCCGCTATCTCCCACAGCATAGATGTTCGGTGACAACACATCTTCCAACTTGTTCGCCAACATCTCTACAAATGGCCCTGGCCTATTTCCAATGCACACCACAACATCGTCGTCCTCCACTTTTTCCTCACTATTCTTTCCTGCTCCGATAACCAGTTCTATTCTATTTGGTCTACCTCCCACACCAAGTTTTTCGTCGCCGCCCCGTCCAGTAGACAGTGAGTTACTTTTTCCATTTTTTGCATTAAATCATGTACTGAGGCGGTGTTGTGGACTACTCGATATTGTCCTGCAATCCGATATGATCGGGCACATGCACAGGTCCCTTGCTCGATCACTGTGACGCCCACTCACCAGTGGTATGCGGCGCCATACGATAATGAATGGTGTTTAGATGTACTCTTGGCTTTGTGACTGTCCTCGTTGCTAACAGGACAACTTTTGCACAATCGGTGTTTTTTAAGTCTCAGGAGATACTATATAGTATGAAGATAAAACTTTGCCACAAATGTACTTAAGGGGCCGTATATCCTCATGAAGCTCCTTTAGGTCTTTAACGCTCGTTGCCTACGGGGCGCCGCATGTGTCGAATGATGCGATCGTGTCCGCAGCGTGGAGGCGCTCTGGCGAATACTAGGCGGTGTTGATCAGATTTCTCCATCTCATCATCATCACACTCGTTAGCTGTACATGTTATGGTCGGGTTACTTACTGAAATCAGCGAATAGATAAAGTTAGTTACATTTCTTTCAGCGCAAACTGTGTACCCACTGATCACAACCAACAGAGCTTTGTTTTGTTCGCCTGATCTTGGAGAAAGTACGTTTCGTGGGGAGCAAGTGTCGTTAGTTCATCTCCTCTGCCAAACTAGGATCTACGTGATCAACTTGACGATTGGCTCGATCGATTGCAAGACATGCGTCAAAACCAATACCGCTGCTGCGTTTGGTGTCGCCCTGTAGTCCGACTACGTGTAACGTGCGTATTATTCCGAGTCATCTTTGAGGTAAGGTTGCTTGTGACCGGGGACAGCACAACCCACGAGAATGCTATCTCACACCTGTGAGCACGTGTTGTTAGCAAGGTGTACGCGTTTTGGTTCCACATTAATATACTTCACTAGGCCCCTCTCTCCCTTATTATTTCTCCTCTGGGTTATTTTAGTTGTGGGATAGCGAAGTATGACTTAATATTAATGATGCAATGTTGATAACGATACTCACATGCCTTTGACTAATTCGTAATTTTGTGCGACGCAGTCTAATTCTGAGAATGTTGTTTAACGCACCGCCACCAGCACTTCATTAATACTTAATTTGCTTTTACATCACTGGACTCGAAGCTTCTTCCCGTATTTTAGGACCAAGCAATTTTTGCACCTCTTGACATCTGAACGTCATGGTACGATGTCTTTCCTAGACGTCCAAATTAGCAGAAGATCAGGTGGGTCGATCCAACACAGGGTGCACAGAAAAGCCACGTGAAATGGACAATACATACATTTCGCCAGCTTTGTCCCACTAAGTCAGAAGCGGAACTTGGTTAGATGTTTAGCCGAAAGGGCAAAAAGGATATGTTGTGAGGACACACTTTCGGACGAGCTGAATTTCTTAGCTGACCTTTTTGAGAGAAACGGCTGTCCCGAAAAGTTTGTTCGGAGAAATATGGAGTGCCGAGAATCGAGGGCTAAAACCGATTCGGTTGAAAAGAAATTGGTTTATCTGTCGTTGCCGTTCAAAGGGGATGGAATAGCGCAGGCAACGTCTAGAAGACGCCATAAACCGTACGTACTGCGCGGCAAGCTTACGGCTAAGATTTACTTCAACACCAATCATAAGGCTTCAACTCAAGGACAGACTTCCTTGGTCAAGTACTTTCTTTTCTTTGTCCATCCCCCTGCTGCTTAGCATCCCCCCAATCACGATCTCACTCGTTAGGCATAATATAACTCTCTTTTTACGTCACGATAGCCAGCTGTTAGCTCTCCGGAACGATGTCCATCCGTTAGTGGGGACTCAGCCGGCGTGCCACTGCTTGTTTTCCTTTTCTTGTCTTTTGTATTGCGGCACAATAGCTGAGGTGTTTTCCACCTGCAGCTAACATGTATAATGATGATGATGATGTCTGGCTGAGCACTTTGAAAAGCCGGATTCGCTAGATTCCTCACCGGCTGGTGATAGCTCTGCTGTTTGTGCTGTCCCTTTGGATGTGCCCTCCCGCTCAGAAGTCGATCGTGAGGTCAGACTGTTGAAGTTGAATAAACTCGCGGAACCAGATGATCCTCATCAAGCCCTCTTCAACTTCAGGGGCTCTGCTCTTGTTGATGATTTACACGAATTACTAATGAAACTGTGAGAGCAGGAATCTGTCCCAACCGACTGGAGCCACTCTCTTGTTCTCCCGATCTTCCAAGGGGGCTTACGCTCGGAACGCGGCAACCATAAAGGAATCAGTCTAATCCCCATCGCCTCCAAATTACTTGCCTATGTAATCTTTCATATACTGACTGACGATTGTGAAAGCCAGATTCGTGAAGAGCAAGCCGGGTTTCATCGAGGTCGGGATGTATTGACCACATATTCACTTTGTGTCAGTTATTGAAGCACCGTCACGTAGATTGGCAGCCTACCGTTGTCGTCTTTCTCGACATCAAAGGTGCCTTCCATTCGGTGGATCGATGTGCCCTTTCGGACCGTCTACTCTGGAAAGCTGTGCCCGAGAAGTATGTAGGTATTCTATACATATTCTGTGAGCACTACGCGCGTGGCTCGGGCAGGGTGATGGCTTGCGGCAAGCTGTCGCCGTCCTTCTGTATCGCCAGCGGTGTAAGACAAGGATGCCCGCTGTCACCTTTCCTCTTCAAATTCACTATTGACGAAGTCAGGGAAATCGCCTTCACTGGACACGACTTAGATATAGAGTTGCTCCCAGGAGAACGACTTCTGGACATGTAGTATGCTGACAACATTGCCCTCATCTGTGACAGCTCCCAAACGTGTCAAGCGGCACTGGACAGCTTAGCACAGGCTGTCAACAGTTTCGGTCTGCGCTGTGCACCCTCAAAGTACAAAGCTTTTCTCCAATATTTGCTGGGACCGCCTGCGCTGACCCTTGATGGGAATCAGCTAGAAGTCCTTCGCAACTTCCAGTACCTAGGTAGTTGTATCAGCACTGTTGGAATTGAGGACGAGGTCACAAATCGTATAGCAAAAGCACGAGGCACTTTTGCTAACCTCCTTCACCTATGGCGCCAACGCCACATCACTATCGCTCTGAAGGGTAGAGTGTACAATGCGGTCGTACGTTCGACCCTACTGTACGGTTGTGAAACCTGGCCCATTGGATCAACCGACATAAAGAGGCTAGTTACATTCGGCCACCGGTACAGTTGATCAGACCACTCATTTGGTCTGTACGTCGCACTGTCGAGGAACAAAACGTTTATTTATTTATTTTGGCTCATATCTAGTTGGAACACCGTGGGAGCAGTGAGCGTGTCCAACACCTTGTTTATGGCGCAGGAGGAGGAAGCAAACCGCTCAGCACCGTTATTTCACGCACCAGGCTCCAATGGCTGGGCCACGTGTTTCACATGCCAGCCCACCTACTCCCGTGACGTGCTTTGTTTGCGCGCCGGGGGTACGGATGGAAAATGAGGAGGGGACGCCAAGCGATGACTTTGCCAAGAGGAATGAAAGCCCTTACTTGGAAGTTGGCCTCGGTTGACACCTCTCGGCTCACTGGTTGGGGACCGAAGGACGATGAACACGTTTGGCTGGGTATACAATACAATACAATGAATCGCACTTCAAACAAATTTCTTATGCTCTGGCCACGGCAGAGGATAATCAACGGTGCCCTATCTGCTGCATCGGGCAGGGTGGATAGGGGTTTGGATGTTACTGCTCAAGCCTTCCCATCTTCTTATTCCCCTTCTTGCGCTTTTTCACCCTTATCGTCCCGTTCCAGCTTCACTTTTATCCCCCCTGTTTTCAACCCCCCAATTCTCGGCCCTCCCCCACCTTGCTTCAATAGTCACTTGTCTTTTAGTTTCAACTCACAGGTGAACGCAAAGCGTCATTCCTGCACTGTCAACAGGTCCATGTCCAAGCAAGCGGCCCATTCCAGTTCATCGGCTTCCATTTGGAGCCCTCGATCCTCCTTCAGACTGGCATGCCTCAACGTTCGCACATTGCTTCAGATCGGTCAACAGGCAGCACTTGCCCGAACATTAGAGACCCTCTCGATCGATATCTGCTGCTTATCGGAGACCCGCCTGCAAGCCTCGAGCTCTGTACTCGCTCTACAATCCCCTTCAGGTGACACTAGCAGCACTTTCTCATTGCGCCTATCCGGTGACGATGCAATTTCGAGCACGGCCAAGCCGGTGTTGGTATTGCCCTGAGTCCCCGGGCTGAAGCTGCTCTGGTTGATTGGATTCCAATCAGTAGCCGGATGTGTGCGGTCCGATTGGCTGGCTCGTTCAAAGATTCGAAGTCATGTGGGACTAAGAGGTGTCTATTCGTTATCGCTGCCTATGCACCGACAAACTTTAGCGATGACTCGGTAAAAGATGACTTCTATCGTCAACTGAACGAGCTGCTTAGCCACAGAAGAAGCTCGGACACTATAGTGCTGGCTGGGGATCTAAACGCTCAAGTTGGAAAATTATCCACAGATGAGCTGCATCTGGGCGGCCAACATGGTATAGGCTCCCGTAATGATAACGGTGAGTGGTTACTTCATTTGTGTGAGGATGCTCGCTTATTTCTTGCGAGCACTAATTTCCGACACAGCACCCGCCGGAGGGTGACTTGGCGCCCACCAGCCTTGGACGCAAATCGATCACATTGCTATCAGTTACCGATGGAGAGGCTGCGTCCAGAACTGTCGCTCGATTTGGAGCACAGGTGTTGACACCGATCATGCACTTGTATGTGCTGACATGCGGATGCGCTTTGGCGGACACCCACGACGATGTTGTGACCGCATTGACACCGGCAGACTGGCGAAGCCAGCTGTTCTGAATGCCTATCAAATTCCTCTGTCATCCGAGTTGGATAAACGCTCACTGGATGCAATTGAAGCTCATTGGTCTCATATTCAACAGGCCTTACTAGCAGCAGGCAAATCCTCATGTGGTATGTCTAAT